AGTGCGCATAGAGCGAGTGCGCGCGATCTGAGCGGGCTCAGCTAGGCACCCTGATTATCACCTGTCTCACTGTTAGCATAATTTAGATATATGTCACACTAGCGTTATACAGCGGGCATAGCATACAAGCATATAAGCAAGCGTGGCCGATCAGGGTGGGCTCAGGTCAGCGATACATGTACATAAATGTGATGTTATACATTGTATCAAGCTAGCCAGACAACGCATCTAAACATGTATGTTTGCTCTGTATAGCGGGAGAGTCGAAGAGTACCAGTCTACCCCGCCGTCAGCAAGCTCGGTCGGAACGAAAATGCGTGAGCTTGGTCTGATTGTACCCTAGCGTGGATTCCGGTTTAGGATTATGATTAGTAATAGTAAACAAAGAACAACTCAAACATATCAGTAAATTTGTTTATGTGTTGAAATATTGGCAGTCGCCCAAACTTTTTTTGGGGGGGGGCAAGTGACTACTTGACTTGTGCAATTTTCGGTCGCTTGAGCTAGACATTGGTCGCCTGTGGCGAGTGGGCGACTGTCCATTTCAGGCACTGGGAGTAGGCACAATGGGACGTAGGCCAACTGGGATGTTACCGCAAAATCAACCTGAGTCCGGAGTCAAATACTCCATAATTTACTGTCAGACTACCTGATTTGACATATGCAGGAGTCTGTTTAACTTTCTGAAAATTCTGCTATACTAACTAGTTCATTCCAGAGCACGGCCTCACGGAATTACCGTATTTTTTTAGCAAATGTCTGAAGGAAATTTGGCAGACGTGCACCGCAAATGTCCTTTTTGTTAATATCTTTAGTTTTGAACGTCAGACTGCAGACTCCCTCATTTTGCTGCGGTTCCCTCTTTTTGAGGGTAGGGGCACTTGTTGTTTGTTAGGGTTGTGGTTGGACTCGCTTGTTCAAAAGTTAATTTTTACCCCTGTTAATATATTAATAACTGGACCAAAGTATGGTTTATTCTTGCAAAATTATAATATTTTACAGGTCTACCTAACGACTACTGAACAAGTAATTAACTCTTATCAGAACAGCTATCCCATTACTGGTTTGTAGAAGATGCATCTCGACTGGAACCTCATGAGTGATAAATATGAATGCCTCAGTCTAATGGGAGACGGAAGTTATGGGGAGGTAAGCCTAAGAGTAAACACGGTTAACATTTCTAATTTTCATGCTGAATGACGTTGTAGGTTAATTAAGGTTGTATTGGTGTTGAGCAAACGGCAACGAACTATATACCACAATAATTACCAATACACGATAGGCAATACGTACATTATCAGTGTGATGTTGCTACTAACACTGCATTGTTTATATTTGTATTATTGTTATATTTGTTAATTATGTTTTATGCACTTTTGAAATATTAAAATATTCAAGTTCCATTTACATCACTAACCTTTTTAATCATTATTTAGGTTTGCAAAGCAAGAGGAAGGGACTCGGGAGCCATTGTAGCAATCAAAAGATATCTTGAAGGACCTGAAGGCAAAGCGGCTGTGAAGAAGATAGCAATGCGTGAGATTAGGATGTTAAGGGTAAACATGTATACTGATTGCAGCTATGATAACTAAGTATGTGTATAGTACGCAATATTAGTTGCCCCTTGGTTGCCAGCTTCCTACTGCACTCCACATACAGGACATAAAGAAAACGGATCAACTTAAAGAGATTTGCAGATAAGTAAATTATCCAAGTTTAAATGGAATTGCATAAGTTTCAATGACAGGGTTTGCATAGCAGTTGGCCTAGGTGCTTCCTATAATTTCACTCTTTATGTACCAAAGCAACTTAGCCAGGTGAGATAGCAACTGTGCCATGTTATGAGTGTTATACGGATTTCTCTCTTCGAAAACAGCCTGACTTGACAAAATCCGATTCAATTTACTGCAATGCGAAATGCACCCTGCTACACTGGGGCTCCTGCCTCACCAGTAGATGGCATGATATGATATGAATGGTAACGGGGGCGGGGAGAAACGATAGATGGGAGAGAGATGCCCCTCTGACAGTGAGCGCCACCGCCTGCAACCTTGACCCCAACATCCACCTCGACATTGACCTCTACATTAACCATGACCTCGACCTCCACCTCGACATTGACCTCTACATTAACCTTGACCCTGACCTCCACCTTGACATTGACCTCTACATTAACCTTGACCCCGACCTTGACCTTCACACAGCAACTGCGTCACGAGAACCTCGTCAACCTGCTGGAGGTTGTCAACAAGACGGGCAAGATGTTCCTCGTCTTCGAGTTTGTCGACTACACGATCCTCGATGAGCTGAACCACTACGAGGCGCCGATACCGCACGAGTGCGCGCGCAAGTACGTCTTCCAAGTCGTCCGCGGCATCGAGTTCTGCCACGCACACGGGGTGAGACGCTGCCGCCGCCGCCGCTGTTGTCGTCGTCAGAGTAACCGATGAATAGATGAATAGATGATTTACGTTCGTTAATTAAGCGTTGAACTAAAATCGTAATAATAATTAATGATTAATTCGTTGAATTAAGCGATTTTACTGAAAAAGTTTTAAGTTTAAATTCATTAAACTAGTTGATAAAAGTTAGACAGTTATTTAAAGATAGCAATGTTAATCGTGAAGTGTTCGTGTCATACAGGTGTTGGCATGTACAACAGCTTCTTATTTTTGCTCTTGCTCTTGATTCTATCTCTCACATTTGCACCTGGTGCCACTGACAGCATCTCCAGTACTCTTAACGTAATCTCTCACTCATTCATAACGCCCCCTGGCGTCATTGCTTTTACTCTAAACGCAATCTCTCAATCAGTCATAACACTTTCTGGCAGCACCGCCGCCACTCTGAACGCCGATCTTTCTCGCTCTCGCCCGCCGCCGACCGATAGATCGTGCACCGCGACGTGAAGCCCGAGAACGTTCTCTTGTCGACGGGCGGCGTCGTGAAGGTGTGCGACCTGGGGTTCGCGCGCGGCGTGCCGAGCGCGACGACGCGCGACCAGGAGATGACGGCGTACGTCGCGACGCGTTGGTACCGCGCCCCGGAACTACTCGTCGGAGACACGACCTACCGCAAGTGAGTGCGCGCGTCGCGGGCCGGAGTTCCGGCTTCGTTCCGGGTAGTCCGGGTTGCGTTCCGAGATTCCGGTTTCGTTCCATGTTTCCGATTTCGTTCTGGGAATTCCGGGTTTGTTCTAAGAATCGGGTTTCGTCTCAGAGATTCGGTTTTTCGTTTCATGATTCCGGTTTGGTCTGCCATCTTGTATTTAGAAACGTCACTTTTTTAAAGATACAATCAAATACAAGGCAGAAGAGACGATAGCCGGCGTGCCTACTATACATATCGGCCAGGAAAACCAGAACACAAACAATATGGAAGGAAATATAAATAAAAGTTCTTGTTAGACAGAGTTACTGCTGCACTTTCTCATGATGCTTAGTTGTATGCATGCGCTTTTGCTGCAGGGAGGTGGACGTGTGGGCGATCGGATGTCTACATGCAGAGATGGTGCTCAACGAACCAGTCTTCGCGGGAGAGTCGGATGTAGCGCAGGTCTTCCTGCAGATCAGAGCTCTAGGTGAGAATGTGAACGTGTTACTTTACCCACAATGATTTCACTGTTCAAACATATGCCCAATCAGAAATAGCTTCACTGATACAATGCAGAGATTGTACATATCCACACGTTTATGTAAAAGTCTATACAGAAACACTTTGTAGTATTATGACATTGTGTGTATTAGGGCTGTAATGATACACTCGCGTATTCGGTGCACCGAATATTGTTGTTGGACGATACGTATTCGTTATTCGCGTCGTCATTATTCGAATACTCACTAATACAAATAATGTAAATGGAACCTACTTGAAAAAATCTTTTTTAAACTACAATTCTACGCCGATTTGCTCGAATTCTGAATGTCGTTTGCAGCTTTCCTCGTGAACGCACCTAGACTGGTAACCGTCCCTTCTCACACATCGAGAAGGCCGGGACGCGTATCTTACTATCACGTGTAACTCACCCCATATCGAGCGTGTGAGAAGGGACGGATACTAGGGTTGCAGCGGTATACCGGTATTTTGCGATATTATCGTGCTGTAATATTTTAGAATTATCATACCGTAACCAGCTCGATACGGCGGTTTTCTCGTTGACATGTGATATACACGTGTACAGTGATGACACAGCCATGTGCGCGGCAGCAGCACTTTTGTGATTGAAGTACAGGGCTCGATCGATCGCGAGCGCGTAGCGCGGTAGCGCGTTTCGCTAACGTCTGCTAAAAGTTGTTCGGTAACGGACGAAAGTTGTCCGGAGGCATAGCGGACAACAACAACAACACACACACACACACACGCAAACACACGTACGCGCACACACACACACACATGCACACGCACACGCACGCACACGCACACACACACACACACACACACACACACACACACACAACATTACACATTTACATCATCAACAAGTGAGTATTTGTATTCGTGAAATATTCGTATTCGCATGCATATATCGTGATACGTATCGTATTCGTGACCTAGTGTATTTGTTACAGTCCTAGTGTGTATGGTAGATCACATTAAATATGAGAGTCAAGCGAAATCGCGGCAGCTTTTAACTTGCCATACGCATATCTTCAGAACTGATCTCAACCCTTCCATTAGTCGCCCTCTACTCCAAGTCCCACAGTAAACTTATTGCGATGATTTACTTTGGGGTGAGCAGGTTCGTTACCGGATAAGCTGTGAAGTGTGCCAAGAACAACTGCAAGTTTAAGGGTCGGGAGTTTCCGCGCGACGTGCCGTCAGGTCGGAGATGCTTGAACATAAATACTCGCACCTGGACGAACACACTCTGCTCTTCTTACAGGTAAGGGCAGGGGAAGAGAGGGAGACAGGGGGAGGAGGCCGAAGAAGAGAGAAGGAAAGGAGGGAGAGGAGGGGAGAGAGGGAGACTAGGGGAGAGAGGAGAGAGAGAGGAGAGGAGAAGAGAGAGAAACCTCCTCACCCTTCCCCTCGCTGCCCGCTTTTGGCCAAAAAGAAAACCAAACGTAAAAAAAAAACTGGTAACGAAGTTCTCGCCCTCTCCTTACCTCCTCCCTCCTGCTTTTCTCCCGACAGAGGCATGCTACCGTTAAAAAAGTTCATTTCTTCTAAATACGCTGTTCCTCTACCTCCTGTTCTCAGCTGCTTCTCCCCTTCGTCTCGTCCTCCTCCCAGCAGAAGCGAATGGTACCAATAACAAGTTCTCATCTTCTCTCACTGCCTGCCCGCCACGACATACTTGGTATAGAAGTTCTCTTTTCTCTCGCCCCCAGCGACATACTGCGCATGGACGGCGTGGAGCCGCCGACGTGCTCCCAGCATACTGCAACGGCATCCTCTCTTCACTCACGGCCTCGCCCTTCCTCGCCGGCCTGACAGGACATACTTGCGCATTGGATGGCGCGGACGCGGACCAGACGTGCTCCCAGCTACTGGCAAGCATCCTCATCTTCATCACCCCTCCGCACCCTTGCTCTCCCTGACAGACATGACTGCCCGCATGGACGCGTCCTCGCGCGGGAGCGGCCGACACAGTGCTCCCGACGCTACTGCTGCATCCTTCCTTCACCTCACCCTCCCCTTCTCATCCCTGACAGGACATATCTGCGCATGGACGGCGCAGAGCGGCCCGACTGCTCCACCAGCATACTGCAGCATCCTCTCATTCACTCACCCTCCGCTTCTCTCCACTGGACAACGATCACCTGCGCATGGACGGCGCGGAGCGGCCGACGTGGCTCCGAGCTTACTGCAGCACTCGTCTTCACTCACGACCTCACCCTTCTCTCCCTGACAGGCATAGCTCGCGCATGGACGGCGCGGACGCGGCGAAGTGCTCCAGCTACTGCAGTTATCCTCTCTTCACTCACACCTCCTTCCTCGTCCCTGACAGGACATACTGCGCATGACGGCGCGAAGCGGCCGACGTGCTCCGCAGCTAAACTGGCGCATCTCTCTTCACGTCACCCTCAGCCCTTCCCCCTGACAGACATACTGGCCATGGAACGGCGCGGAGCGGACCGACGTGCTCCAGCTACTGCAGCATCCTCTCGTTCACTCACACCTCACCTTCATCTCCCTGACAGGACATACTCCATTGGATGGCGGAGCGGCCCGACGCGCTCCCAGCTACTGCAAGCATCCTCTCTTCACTCACCCCTCCCTCATTCTCTCCCTCACAGGACATACTGCGCATCGGCACGGCCGACCGCGCATCCCAGCTACTGGCAGCATCCTCGTCTTCAACTGCACTCCCTTTGCCTCCCTGACAGGACATACGCGCATGGGATGCGGCGGACGCGGCGACGTGCCTCCCCAGCTACGCAGCATCCTCTCTTCCTCAGCCCCTTCGTCCTTCTCTCCTGACCAGGACATGTACTGGGCGGCATGGACCGGCCGACGCGCTCCCCAGCGTACTGCAGCATCCTCTCTCACTCATCTCACCTTCTCTCCCTGACAGGACATACTGGGGCGCATGGGACGGCGCGGAAGCCGGCCCGACGTGCTCCCCAGCTACTGCAGCAATCCTCTCTTCACTCACCGCCTCGCCTTCTCTCCCGACAGGAACATACTGCGCATGGACGGCGCGGAAGCGGGTGCTGCGACGCGCCCCACTACCTGCAGCAATCGCTCTCCTCAACTCACCCTCCCTCCCGGGTGGAAATCCTTCCTCTCCCCCTTGACAGCACATACATGCGCATGTGATCGGCGCGGAGCGGCCGACGTGCTCCCGCTACTGCAAGCATCCTCGTCTCATCACACCTCCCCTCTCTCCCTGACTAGGACCAATACTAGCGCATGGATGGTCGGAGCGCCGACGTGCTCCCAGGCTACGCACATCCATCGCTTCAGCCTCACCCTCCCGCTTCTCGTCCCTGACAGGAACATACTGCGGACAGGACGGCGCGATTGGCCGACGTGCCTCCCAGCTACTGCACATCCCTTCTCACTCAC